TTTTACTAATTGTTATTAATCTCTTCGTGTGCCTAATTTGTGAATCAAACTTTGTCAGAAGTATAGGTAGGAAAAAACATTAGCTATGGGGTTCAGTTCTGTCTGAAGTTGCAGGCATTGGAATTCGTCTCCCATGAGAAAGGGGGAACTACAGTGTTTAAAGCTAAGCTGGAAAAAACAAAGCGCTCTCCCAAAGCATTTGAAACACAAAAACTCTAGATGAAGTGTTAAGATACCTGGGTTTGGTGTCCACCAGACATGGGCTGTTTGTCCTAGAGCATGTCACCTCACCAAAACCAGGGAACTGGTTGAAAAAGAAAAAGACCGCTCGAGTCCGCCACATCTTGCCATGGAGTTGAGCAACACCAAAATCTCTAGTCTTTCTCAGCATGATAGAAAAATAGACATGAAATGTGGACTTCCAAATGAGTATTTTTTTTAAATTGAACTCAGGACCTTGCACTTGCCAGGCAGGTGTGGTGCCACTGAGCTAAATTCCAGGCCCCCAAATGAGTATTTTTTACAGTAGTCTGTAAAATTCTCTGCGTCTTGCCCCCAAATAATTTACAAAACGGTTGTAAAGATTAGATGAGATACTATATGGGTTTTTTCCCTGGTACTGGGAATCGAACTCAGGACCTTAAACTTGCCAGGCAGGCACGGTTCCTGCTGAGCTACATCCCAGCCCTGAGATACTAGATATTAAAGCACCGAGACCCGCAGGACCATACATTACAAAGAGGACAAAATATATAAATTGGACAGACCTGGATTCAAGATCCTACTCTACCTAACAAAATCTGTAACCTTAGGCAAATTGTTCTTTGTTTTTTTGTTTTCTGGGGTTTTTTGGTGGTGCTTGGTATTGAACCCAGGGTTTTCACACTGAATATACCCCAACCCCTTTATTTTTTATTATTTTATTATTTATTATTTTTAAAATTTTGAAATAAGTCCTAAATTCCTAAATTGCCCAGCCTGGGTTCAAACTTGTAGACTTCTTGTCTCAGCATCCCAGAATGCAAGAATTATAGGTGTCCACCACCACACCCAGCTAAAATGACTTCACTTTTCTGAGTTGATTTTATTAATCCTGAAACACAGGTTATTGTAAGAATGAAATGAAATAACCTAAACTGGATAACAGGTGACTTTTTTTTTAACTTTAATTTGTTTTAGTGCATATTTGCATTACATAACGATGACACTCATTGTGGGGAGTTGACACATATACATACCTAATTCTTTTTATGTCTCCCCCTCAGCTCTTTGTCCTTTTCCCATTTGCAAAAGATCTGACAGGTGACTTTGTAAGTATCATTGACATATAAGAATCTTTTTCTTTATGATACCAGGGTTCAAACCTAGGGATGCTCTACTGCTAAGCTACACCCCAGCCCTTTTGATTTTGTATTTTTAAAGACAATCTCTCTACATTACCCAGGCTGTCCTGGAATTTGCAGTCTCCTGAGTAGCTTGGATTACAGACCTGAGTCATTATGCCCAGCAGAATTTGGTTCTTTTTTAGTATTCAAAAATAACAATTACTTAAAAAGTCACTTTGAACTCTAAGGTGATACACAGTTATTGACGTATTCTAATTTATCCGTGACCTAGAACCATGTACACAGTTGGGCAGCATCGGATCCCACTCTCTCAGTCAACACGGATTTGCCTCCTTTTGGAAAAGGGTAAAAAAATGGTCATGGGAGTAAAGGTGACAGAAGTGACTAAAAAGTGATTTTTTGTATGAGTCTTTAGAGTCTTAAATGTTTGTCAGGCTAGAGGTTAAAGGAGAGAAAAATGCAATCACTCCGTGTCTGGCAACAGCTCCAGAAGCACTTCCCTCCCCAAAAGCCTCGGCTTTCCTGTCAGCTGCAGCAAAGCAAACAAACAATCACGCCGATTGGTTTCCTGCTACCACTGAGACCCAAGAGGGTGGGGGGGCCTGCAGGTAAGCAATGACCTAACTCCAAACTCCCAGAATGCGCGCCGTCCATTTTCCCACACTCAAGTGTTTCTACCCTGTTTTCGTGACAGGAGTTTACAAATTTTTTTCTTTCTTCTTTTGAAGACCCAAGAAAGAAGAATCAGGTTTTTATCAGAATACCAGGTTATAAGGTGAAAGGTTATAAACAACTCTGCCCAGGAGGCCTCTGTTTCAGAACCAAGGCTTGGCAGGCAGCTACTCCTGCCAAAATTAAACAGCTTTTTGGCACTGAGGAGAACTCGGGCATCACAGAGCAAACAAGGGTTCTGGATTGACCTGCGAAAAGGGAGGATAAGACTGGAAATGAAGACAGAAACAGAACAAGAGAGAATTTAGGACTTTTAGAAATTAAAAATTTCAGTGCTTCATAGATGCACCCAAATGAGAAAGTGTCAGCATTCTCTAAAACATCTCGAATCAACATCACTCCAATTACTACCTTTCATCTCATCGCCTCAAAATTTATGTAGTTACACATCATGTATTTACTGTAACAATATTGATTTGTGTGTTTTGATAAGCATTTTGGTGTCATATATTTATGTACATTTTCAGACCCATTAAACTAAAAGTGTCTAGAAATCATAATGTTTTTTGTGTTTGGGGTTTGTTTTAAAACAGTGTCTTGCTAAGTAGTCCAGATTGGCCTTGACCTTGACGCATACCACCATGCCGCCAGAAGCCATAATTTTGAGCTTTTAAAATTACTTCAGGAGAAAGTGATTTCCAAGACATTGTGTGTACACAGTGGGAGGGGGTTTGCACATCACTTTTTCTATTTTTGAGTGGCATATGAACATCCTGTATTCTTATAAAATTTAGAAATTTGCCGTGGTAGTAGTCTTTCCCATCCCATATATTAAACCTCTTCATCTCCATTTACCTGAGATTTATGTTCCAGCCATCCCAGAGCCATTTTTTCCTCTCTGAATCCCACCGCTCCTGTTCTGATGGTCATCCTAGTGCTGATTCTTACTTAAAAACCATTCTGCCAGGCGTGGTGCCACACGCCTGTAATCCCAAGCCTCGGGAGGCTGAGGCAGGAGGATTGCCATGAGTTTAAGGCCAACCTGAACTACATAGCAAGAGCTTGTCTGAAGTAAGTAAATAAATAAATTACTTCTGTGAGAGTCTCACCTTCCTCACCCTTAATAGCTCAGTATTGTTTACTAACTGAAAACACCTAGGACCTACTTGGTTAATTTTCTAGAACAGGGTGCCACCTCAACCCACACACCCTAAGGATCAACATGTTCCCGTGTGTGTTTTGGAACAGTCGTGATCCCTGCTACTGAGCTTGCTTAATAACGGGGTTGAGTTGTTAGCCTCAGGGTGTCAATCCAGTTAGGGCGTGTGAGTCAGAAGGATCCCTCACTGTACGGCCTTCCTTTTGCTAAGAAGATACAATTTTAGTACGGATAAAGGCTTATTTACTTCCCCTTCTCAAGTTTAGGAACATTAGCTTCCTCTTTTTTTTTTTTTGGTAAGGGGGATCGAACTCGGGTCCTGCTGAGCTAAATCCCCGGCCCAAGCTTCCTCTTTTCAACACAAAGAAAGAGATAATAATCTCCTGATTAGACCAGTGCAAATGCAAGAGGGGTCTAGGAATCCGAGAAAAAGGGTTAGAATTCCTCCTCTGCAGATAGTTTCCTTATTACATTTAGGAATAATTTCTCAGGGAATGGCTCCTATGGCATCTAGCAGTCAGCAGGGGAAACCTGGTCCATCAGGTAGGTCAATGAAACCAACAGAATGAAGAGTGAGTCCAGCCCCTTTTAATTTGCTTTGGACAGTGCTCTGATGACCCTTATTTCTTTCTTCCTTTCTTAGTGATTTTTAAACTACCTACGGGGGGAAAAATAATAAGGAAAGTGTTCCACTTTGGTTATAAACAGGAGCACTATATTGCTTTCAATCAACTCATAGATTGAATATGGGAAGATGAAAGTAAGCCCATGTGGTGGCAAATGCCTGTAATCTTAGCACTCGGGAGGCTGAGGCAGGAGGATCACCCGAGTTCAAGGCCAGTCTGTGCTACGTAGCTCAAGGCCAGCCAGAACTATATAGTGAGAACCTGTTTCAAAAATAAGAAAAAAAGGTCTGCGTGTGTTTATGCATGTACATTTGATTTAGAAAGTTCAGGGAGATGAAAAGAAAGGATGAAAGTATCCCAGGAAGATTAAAAGGACAAAGCATTTTTTTTTTCCTGGAGGAGGGTAGATAATCAGAGTGTGAAGGACACACCTCACTAGAGATTTAAATGAGGGAAGCGGGAACGTACACAGTGTTCCCCAACTTAGCAGGTAGACGTGATGAGGGGATGAGCAACAGGATGTGGGCGCTCCCGCGGACCGAGAGGGCGGGGGCGAGGACAGCGCACCCCGCAGTCCAAATGTCGGAGGTGGGTAGTGTGTGCGAGTCCTCACTTCCTTGGGGACAGCAGTTTTTGTGGGGAGTTTTAACAGAGACCAGGGCCGAGAGGATTTCTGAATAATAACATCAGCACTCTGCCCTCCGCCCCAATCCTAAAGTATTCTTGGCGCCATGGGGTTGTTTTTCATAGACTTGGGACTTGTGAGCCAGGAGTAAACAGCAGCGTCTAAAGTGCACTGGCTAAGGCTGGGCAGGAAATTCCCTCATAAGCACATTTTCTATCTGTAAAAAAAGCCGCTACCAGACCAGCATCCACCCTCGGCCCAGGCGACCCCTCGCCCTTGCCAGCTTTCAGTCCCGGGACCCCGGGTCCGATCCCTGCGGGAAAGCCGCTCGCAGCCGCCTTCGCCCCCGCGATTCCCTGCTCCCAGCTAGCGGCGCACCCAAGCTCCACAACCACCTGCCCCTCCCGGAGCACACTGTGTCCACGCGCCCCTGGAGCCGCGCGGATTGGTCGGGCTCCTGGTAAACACGGCTCAGGCAGCCAATGGGAGGGCTGTGCACGCGGGCAGCACGCGCCTCAGGGCTAGGGCTCGCGTGGCTCAGCCTGCTGGGCTACTATATAGAGGCGGTTTCCGGCTCCGGCTGGTAACTCTGTTTTCGTTCTTTGGGTAGTGTCGTCCTACCGATATTAACAGCTCTTTTCCAGCAACTGGGGAAAGAATTTTTTTTCTTCATAAAAGCTCTTGGCATAGCCAGCAGCTTAAAACATTTCCAGGCATCTTTTCGAAAGTAAAGATTGCTTTGTGGGCATCTTTTTAATTTTGTTTTTAAATCCCCACCTGCTTCAGGACACTTTCCTTTTTTAAGGAAGAGTGAAACCTTAGCTTTTTGTAAAGGGTGCTTCTTGGATTTGGGGTTTCGTTTTGTTCAAGCTTCCTGAGCCGACACAGCCTAATCATGGTGATGTTCAAGAAGATCAAGTCTTTTGAGGTGATCTTTAACGACCCCGAGAAGGTGTACGGCAGCGGCGAGAAGGTGGCCGGCCGGGTGGTCGTGGAGGTGTGCGAAGTCACTCGAGTCAAAGCCCTGAGGATCCTGGCTTGCGGGGTGGCCAAGGTCTTGTGGATGCAGGGATCGCAGCAGTGCAAGCAGAGCCTGGACTACCTGCGCTACGAGGACACGCTCACCCTGGAGGACCAGCCCGCAGGTGAGCAGCAGCCCCTGGCCAGTGCTGCTGAGGGTGGAAGCTACTTGGAGGAGAGGTCTGGAAGCAGTGCTTTGAGCCTATACTAAATGTTTTAAATTGTTCAGTTCGAGTCGTTTGAATTACCTATTGCTTCCTATTAGTTTTAATTTGCAAACATGTCTCTAACCCCCAACCCTTGTGATTATTCAGCTGCTAAGGATTTCTGTAGAAGTAAGTGGCTTGTTTACTTGATTTGTGGGTCAGCCTTTCAAAATTGTAAAGTGAAATTGTATCAGAATCTTTAAGAACACGAGGGATGGAAATGGGAGCGTTAGATCCCTTTTTTGCATACTTTGCAGGCATCGTCTTCTCACAGACGAGTTTTAAGTAACAAACCTAACAATTACTTGTTTTTTCAGGTGAGAACGAGATGGTGATCATGAGACCTGGAAACAAATATGAGTACAAGTTCAGCTTTGAGCTTCCTGAAGGGTAGGTTATCAGCTAAATGCATCTTTGGACTCTTGTTTCTGAAAAAATTTCATCCTGTGATCACTTACTGTACTTGGAAAGCATTTTAAAAGTGCCCCCTCCCCTTTTTTTGGACACAGGCCTTTGGGAACATCTTTCAAAGGAAAATATGGGTGTGTAGACTACTGGGTGAAGGCTTTTCTTGATCGCCCCAGCCAGCCAACTCAAGAGACAAAGAAACACTTTGAAGTGATGGAACTGGTGGACATCAATTCCCCTGATTTAATGGTGAGATTCATTTCAAGATTCTGTTGTATTTAGATACCAAATGATAAAGAGTTTGGGCATTAGACTGAAGTATCTCAAAACCCCTTTCTTTTATTACCTTCTGCACAGGCACCCGTGTCCGCTAAAAAGGAGAAGAAAGTTTCTTGCATGTTCATTCCTGATGGGCGTGTGTCTGTCTCTGCTCGAATTGACAGAAAAGGATTCTGTGAAGGTAAGGCCCTCGTGCTGAAAACTAGACAGATGCAACAGGAGATGTGGGGTTGAAGACATGGGAAGGAGCAAGAGATGTCGTTAGTTACGCTGTTCGTCAACAGGTTTTCATGTCTCTGCTAGGTGACGATATTTCCATCCACGCCGACTTTGAGAATACATGCTCCCGCATTGTGGTCCCCAAAGCAGCCATTGTGGCCCGCCACACCTACCTTGCCAATGGCCAGACCAAGGTGCTCACCCAGAAGTTGTCATCAGTGAGGGGCAATCACATTATCTCGGGAACATGTTCCTCATGGCGAGGCAAGAGCCTTCGGGTTCAGAAGATCAGGCCATCTATTCTGGGCTGCAACATCCTTCGAGTTGAATATTCCTTGCTGGTGAGTGGATGGGGGTAGCTGTAGCAGAGAAGTTGTTTATTGCAGGAGTGGTGTTTTCCCCAGGCTTCTCATCGAACAAGCTCTTATCTTCTTTCTAGATCTATGTGAGCGTCCCTGGCTCCAAGAAAGTCATTCTTGACCTGCCCCTGGTGATTGGCAGCAGGTCGGGTCTGAGCAGCCGGACATCCAGCATGGCCAGCCGAGCTAGCTCTGAAATGAGCTGGATAGATCTAAACATCCCTGATACCCCAGAAGGTGAGCCACACTTTTAATGTCTTTCCTTCTCCTCTGGCCTACTTAGGCTTGTACAGTTGTGATGGTGTGGCATTTCTAGGCCAGGCTTCTCATCCCGGTGTTTTCTCACCGTAGCTCCTCCTTGTTATATGGATATAATTCCTGAAGACCACCGATTGGAGAGCCCCACCACTCCGCTACTGGATGACACGGATGGGTCTCAGGATAGCCCTATCTTCATGTATGCTCCCGAGTTCAAGTTCATGCCACCACCCACATACACTGAGGTGAGAGTTGGCCCCCTCCCCCCGCCCCCGTACCAGGGATCAAACTCAGGTCCTTGCGCTTTCGCAGCAGGTGACAAAACCACTGAGCTGAATCCCCAGCCCGAGAGTTGTCATTTTTATTCATATTTGTCCTAAGCCTTCCATAAACGGTTGACTTGGAAGATTGCTAAAGGAGGCTGTTCTTGTTCTTTCCCAAAGTGAACTGGTCTCTGCTTTGTTATTTTCAGGTGGATCCTTGCATCCTCAATAACAATGTGCAGTGAGCGCGTGGAAGAAAAGAAGCAGCTGTACCTACTTGTTTCTTCCCACCTCTCTTCTGGACTCAGTTCTTTAGAGACTCCGTAGTCTCTGCAGTGGGGTACGAGTCCCCCCAGCCTCAGACTCCCCAGTGCTCAGGCCGTGACCAGCAGGCAGTTTTCGGGCCTCAGGCAGTTTTCGGGCCTCAGCGTGGACTCGTCCTCAGCCCGCACCATTGTTGGGATGTAGGAGTGTTTGCTGGATGGGTTGAAAAACACACTAGAAAAATTCAGGCCCATTCCGTTTTTTTCAGATCTCCTTGAAAATTGAGGCATTTTCACTGTTTTGATCAGGGCTAGAAATGCACGCCCGACACGGTTCTCCCAAGGTTGTTGTTTTTTTTTTTTAAGGGAATTGCAGATTGTTAGAATAACATCAAACTCCAGACTCTTGTGCCATATGAGTCAGTTTAGTAAACTCAGCAAAAGAGGTTTTTAAAGTCAGTGTTCATTTTGTTTTGTACACTTACAGAAAAAAGAAAACCACTCTAGGGCTGATTGGGCTTGAGCTCTACAGAGTGCTTCTCCTTTGAGTTCCAGGAAAGCTCTGAGGTGTCTGCTTGGAATACAATTTAACCTGGTGTAAAACAGTAGCAACTACGCCCCACCAAAGGTCTTTTAAAGCCATTTTTTTAGAGCCTTATTGCACTGTTCTTTTGCAAACCTACATACGTGGGAGAATCTGTTTTTTTCATGTGATTCCTTGGAACTGATTCCAAGGTGATGCTCTCAGCACTTTAGTTCCTATCATTTTTTTTCTATTTCTGTTTTTTCCTCCCCATCTCAAATGTAAGCTACTAGTCTCTAGGGGGAAGCATAATGACACAGATGTGTTAGTATTACTTTTGAGACTTTGTCCCAGTGTGTAGAATTGTGTAATTCTGACACTAATCATATAAAGGGTTGCTGCCCACTGTGACTTCTGTAAACCCCAAGGAGGGACTCTGGAACAAATGCCCCAACACTGTGATCAGAGCCTCCAGACACTGCCAAGAGAAACTAGAGGGTTCCTCGGGCCCCCTTTCCCGCCCAGTGTTAGGAGAAGGGGATGCCAGCCTCTCTCTTTACTGTAGCAACTAGCGCTTGATCAGTACCCCTCAGCCAAAGCACTTTGTTCACTGTCCTGTGTCAGAGCACTGAGCTCCACCCTTTCCTGAGAATTAGCCAGAAAGTATGAGGGCTGAAGGTGGTGGTGGTATTGTTTTTATATTTTGTGTAACTTTTTGTATGATGAAAACTATATTTTATACTTAACCAGATGTATTTTGACCCCAAGTGGGGGTGTTTGTAAAAAATTAAAAAATAAAAAGTTTTTTTAATGGCAAAAAATGATTCTACTTGTCTGGGGTAGCACTGGCAAAGTTATGAGAAGGTGGGCTGAGGATGTAGCTGAGTAGCATAGCACTGCCTGGAAAGCTCCAGGGCCCAAGTTTGATGACACCAAAAAGTTACGATAAGGTGTCCTTGAAGGAGCTTTCCCCTGCTTCACAACTCCCATTGCTGAAGACCCTGTGGAAAAACCCTCCCTGTCACCCCTAACATGCCCAGGTGGCCAGAAGAGTAAGGAGTCAAGGGATTCGAGCTAGTTTGGTCTCCTTTATGAGTTAACTAAAGAACTGTGGAAGGTTCTGTTGGACTAAGCTAGTTTTCCACATCCGCAGCTAATCATTACTAAATTCCTTCACTTTTGGAGTTCATGAGTTCTTGAACACAGAGAAACCACGTTTGTGAGAGGATTTGGAAGGAAAGTGTTGAGGTTCCATTCCTTCTCACTTCATTTTCTGTACTGGTTAAACCCACGGTCTTCACATAGAGCTACAACTCCAGCCCTTTTGTTATTTTAAATTTTCCGGTAGGGTCTGGCTAAGTCATTGCAATTGCCCAGGCTGATCTCCAGTGTGAAGTCATTGTCCCTCAGTTTCCTAGAGTGCTGGGATTATGGCATAGTTTTAAATTTTTGTGGTGCCCAGGAGCCTTCAATAGGAGACAGAGATTGTACCACTGAGCCACCCCCTAACCCCGGAAATTCTTGTTTTAAATTTTTTTATTTATTTTTAAGACCGTATCAGGGTTCAGGATTTAGCTCAGTGGTTCCACCGCCTGCTGTGCAGGCCCAAGGACCCGAGTTCGATCTCTGGTACCAAAAACAAAACAAAAAGACCGTATCACTATTGTAGTTGAGGCTGGCCTTGAACTCACATCGATCCTTGTGCCTCTGCCTCCTGAGTGCTGGGATTACAAGTGTGCACCACCCCACTCAGCCTTTTTTTTTTTTTAATAGCTTGTTTTTCACCATAAGCATTCTTCCGGATGCTTCTGTACATGAGAGTTTTAGAGTCATGAGTGTCAGATTCTTGGGAGGCAACTACTTTTCTTTTTTCTCTTGGTCTTTGGAGACAGGGCTTGGTTTGGTTTGCTTTGGTTTTGAGACGGTCTCCCTGTGTAGTCCAGGGCGGTCTTCAACTCACTACGTAGCGGGAGCTGCTCTCAAACTCGAGGTGATCCACGTGCCTCAGCCACACCCAGCTGGCAGCTTCCAGTTTTATCTCTGCAGTACCTAGCACATATTTTGTCCAAGTACATAATTATAACTCAGTAAATGTTTGTTGAATATTTAACCCATCCTCATCTTTTAGGATATGCTTAGGTAGTTGTGTATTTCTTTTCTTTCTCTCTTTTTTTTTTTTTTTGCAGTACTGGGGATTGAACTAAGGAGTTTGCGCTTGTGAGGCAGGTGGCACCACTGAGCTAAATCCCTGGACCTAGGCAGTTACTTATTTTTATAGGGTTTTTGTCATTTCTTTGTGTTTGTACTAGGCATTGAACCGAGGATCTTTGCACTGAGCTACATCCCCAACTCTTTAAAAAATTTAATATTTATTTATGTATTTGGTTTTGTAAGACAGTTTCATTGGGTAGTTTAGATTGGGCTTTTTTTTTTTTTTTGGTACCAGGGATCGAACTCGGGACCTTCCGCTTGCGCAGCCCGCGGCGAAACCACTGAGCTAAATCCCTGGCCCTAGATTG